CTGGGGGGGGAATCCTGAAAACTGGGGAGAATCCTAAAAACTGGGGAAGGGGACAGCCCGGGGCTCTGCACGGCCACCGAGAGCATCGATGGGCAGGTGGGACCCCAAAACATGGGGGGGACCCCAAAACATGGGGGGGGAATGGACGGGGGCTCTGCATGGCCACCGAGAGCGTGGATGGACAGGTGGGACCCCAAAACACGGGGGGGACCCCAAAACATGGGGGGGACCCCTAAAATCTGGGGAGGGACCTAAAACCTGGGGGGGACCCCAAAAACTGGGGGAGGGGACCACAAAACTTGAGGGAGCATTGCTGGGGGGGATCCACTCGTGTTGGGAAGACCCAGAAAATTGGGGGAATCCGGGAATTTTTGGGGGACTCAAGAGTTTGGGGGAGACCCGTGAATTTGGAGGGGACCCAGGAATTTTTGGGGGCAGCTCAGGAATTTTTTGGGAGGACACAGGAATTCGCTGATCCCCCTGATTTTGGGGCAGCGATCCCCCAATTTTAGGGTGGTGTCCCCTTTGATTTCAGGGTGCTGTTCCCCCTGATTTTAGGGCGCTGACCCACCTGATTTCAGGGTGCTGATCTCCTAATTTGGGGTGCCGACCCCCCCTGGATTTCGGGGCCCTGACCCCCTTGATTTTAGGGCGCTGCCTCCCTGACTTTGGGGCACTGATCACCTGATTTTAGGGCGCTGATTCCCCAATTTCAGGCTGCTTTCCCTCCCAATTCCAAGGTGCTTTCCTTGCAATTTTGGGGTGCTGACCCCCCCCTTTTCCCCTTTTCCAGCTGAGTGGCTGTGGCAGTGCCATCTTGAAGCGGGAGACGATGCTCAGCCCCCTGATTTCAGGGCTCTTTCCCCCCAATTTCAGGGCTCTTTCCCCCAATTTCAGGGCTTTTCTCCCCTAATTTCGGGGCTCTTTCCCTCCAATTTTAGGTCTCTTTCCCCCCAGTTTCAGGGCTCTTTCTCCCCTGATTTTAGAGTCCTTTTCCCCCAATTCCAGGGTGTTTTCCCCCCAATTTCAGGTCTCTAACTCTCCTCATTTTTCCCCCTCTCCAGCTGAGTGACTGTGGCAGTGCCATCTTGAAGCGGGAGACAATGCTCACCTCCCAACTCCAGGGTGTTTTCCCCCCAATTTTGGGGCTCTAACCCCCCAATTTTGGGTCTCTAACCCCCCTTTCCCCCCCCCCAGCTGAGTGGCTGTGGCAGTGCCATCCTGAAGCGGGAGACGAT